TTTAGTTTATCATCTAGGGCTTGTTGGAAAAGAGGAGTTAAATCTTTCCTGGTTAGATCTACAATAGTTGACTTGGGTGTTTTAGAAGAAAATGCATGCAAGTGTGTTTGCACAATTGGCATGGTAGACTTCTTTGTTGATTAATTAATAGTTTTCGGTTGGGTGATGTCTATTATTGTAGAATTTGCAAGCAATTGTTAAACTACATTGTGGGCATTAGTGATAGCATATTTGGGGAGTAGGAGAGGGTGGTTTTGTCAAGATCTTGTGAGTTTGCACTTTTTCCTGTTCTAATTACAGAAAAGTCTGTAAAGATTTGGTAAGTATTATTAAGGTTGGAGACAAATTTGGTATGGTATTTATTGTATAAGCATTTGACAATAGAAGTAAAAGGGGTGCAGGGAATAAGTGCGTCATTTTGTTAGTTGCTCTGGTAGTTTTAGTAAGGCAAGTTGATGGAGCTTGTGTAGGGAAAATCGGTCTCATATGACTTTTTCTCTCTTCTTCAAAGATTGCAATACTATAACTATTTTTACAAATCAAGTGAAAATAGTCAAGATCTAAGGTATCAGCTGGTTCACTGATGAGAGTTGGCATTATATCTTAGAGATATTAGTAAATTTGAAACGGTGTAGTAACAAGCTTCGGGCAGTATAAATTTTGTTTCATGTAATATTATCTTATAGAATCTTCTAAATACGACAGCTTGTGTAACTGCAGCTTGTGTAACTGTGGCTAGTGTGGCTAGGGTGGCACAAGTTGTATTGTGTTACTGTAATTTAATAGGTGCAAACTATATATTCGTGTTAGTTAAATATTTCCTGTTTTGTAAATATTAAATTTTAATTAAAAATTAAAATGAAATTGGTGTAATTAGTAGAGAACCACTAATTTTAAGTAGTTGAAAACGTGGGTAATATTATCTAAAAATAGTTAGCATTGCATGGAAAATGCCTATAGAGTTTTTTGTAAAAAGAACTTTAGAGAAAAAGGAGAAAAAACTTAGAGGAGTTTGGAAGATTTTTTAATTATATCTCTGTCAGTTTTAGGTCTACAAGCTTGAAATTTAGCTTGTTATGATGGGAAAAGTGAGCTCTTTAAGTTTTTCTAAGTTCAGAGAGTAGGTATAGATAGCCATTTTAGAGTTATAAAGTGAAATATAAAAAAAAAGGCCAAGTGGCTGTTTCTCGATAGCTTTAAAAGTTTTTAGTTTAATATTCAAATATTATATGTATTTTTTTGTAACAAATAAGTTTATTTAGTAGCAAAGCTAAGGCTATCTTAGTAAAAAATAAAGTTATAAAGTATTTTAATATAATTAAGCTGGGAAAAATTTGTGTATGAGTGATAGACAGAAAGAGTTTTATTTGCAATCCCTAGTAAAATTTTGAGATATAGCAGATTTTAATTAAAGTTAAGATTTGTTAGGGCTAGGGTTAGGGTTAAAGTTAGGATTAGGTAAAATTGCAAGAGAAACATTTTTTGTTAGTTGCACAACAGAGTTACCCTAGTAAAATTTTGAGATATAGCTAGAGTGCACTGCAGTGCAAGTGCACTATATTTCAAAACCCAATGAAATAAAATAAAAAACAGAAATTACTTTTCTATTACACCCATTTGGTACAGTTATAGCTGGTTTCATCAGATGAAACAAAGCATTAGCTATTTTTTAATGGTTTTTATCACAGCAATATATTATAATATTAATACTTACCAGTAGAACCGAAACTTAAAATCTCAGTATTGGTAAAAGCAACAGCATAGCACATCTTAGTAACTGTTCCAATAACAACTTAGTGTAGCTTAGAAAAAATTTGTAAATTATTACTTCACCATTTGACCATTCCTAGCATCTATGGATGTTAAATTTTTCTACATGTGATAGCTGTAGCACACTAGTAAAACGAGGTTCAATAGGGAACCCCCTATTGCTACCTATTTATAGCACAAATAGAGGTCAATAGAGTATCGATTAAAGCAATTGTACTTAATAGAGTACCAATAAGGTACCAATAGAGTACCAATAGGTATTAATAGAGTCAATAATGTTTTTGTCTATTGTAACTATTAAGATAATAGTTACCAATCGAGACCAATTGAGACCAATAGAGTATCAATAGGGTACTAATAGGGTTTCGAAAAAAAAATCATTCAAATATTATTAAAAATCTGATTCTTAAACTTTAGTGAAAATTGATAAACATCCAATGATAGTTTAATTCCACTAATAGGTTCAAGAAATTATTAGATATCTTTTTGAACATATTAAATTATGTAGGTATGTACTGTGTGAAGATATTGTATTTAGGATATATTATTAATTCTGGATTTTAGAGTGTTCTCAAGTGTCTTAATCAATGAGCAAAATGCATCAGAAAATAATTGATAAAGCTTATTGCATAAATATAACATTTTTATTAATAAAAAAGACTGAAATGAATGTGTCATTTAAATTAACAAACTTTTACAACAAACCACTTTTTTTTATACCTGTTTTGAAAATTTTACAATTAATTGAGTTTTTAGAAAGACTACATAAGTAACATTGCCATGGATCATCACATTCAGCAACGAATTATTATTTTACTTCTCACACTAAACATTTTTATAAATGATAAAAAAAACCAGAAGGCTTAAAAAACAATATGTTTTGTTGTTTAATACTTTAGGAGAGGTATAATCCGTATCCAAAGTTTAGAAACTGTTTCTAAATTATTTGATGACTTTGACAATATATATATATATATATTACAAATGTAAGTGGGGGCGCTAGCAGCACCCCCTACTGACTAAATTTAAATTATATATATTATACAAAATAAGAATTATAATACTAATTGCATAAGTATATATTAGATAACAAATTACTATTGATAATCGCAGATCAAATCAATGAAATTAATATCTCAACTGATAAATGAATAAATTCAAATCTCTGTTATAATTAAGAATTTTCTATTACTATATCTGCATATTGACAAACCAGTTAATGTCATAATTTATTATTGCATAATCAATTTTTGGAAATTTAACGATTCGACGACCATAATTACTTTCATAATTCTATTATCGTGATAAAGTATTTTTTTAGTATGACTAATTAAATATAGGCAAATTTGATGGATTTAATAAATAGAAAAGCCTATAAGCCATAGCAGCTTGTAATTATTAACTTCAAAGTTAGCCAAATAATCTGTAAATTTGACCAGAGTTATGGCTCAAAGCTTTTTCATTCCACAAATCCACTAGTATATATTATAAATAGGGCTGTTAATCGATCTAGTCCAGACTGATGATTCTTCAGTCTATCCAAGGATTGGGTCAGTTCAGTTCTCTTTAGGATATATCAAGAAGACTATTGGCCCTAATAGTAAGAATGAGTAGTAGGACAACATCAGAAATCACAAATCTCATGGAGCTCAAAAAAAAAAAATTATAATCCAACTAAATTCATGATTTTCATCATATGGGTTACAATAAAAGATTCTCATAGAACTTGCTATTCTAGTGACTACAGTATGTGGTTAAGGTCATATGAGTTTGCATTAGAATTTTTATAGTTTTTCTACTATGTTAAAAAACCTACTCACCATTCTGATGACCACAGTAAAATTAAGTTAATTTGTAATAGAACTATCTTGATTTCTATGTAGTTGGGTTTGAATTAGTTTGCATTAGAGTTATTGTAATTTCTGTTATAAGTTACTGTAAGAGTTTTGTTACAGAGCTTACTTACTATTTCGGTGACTCAGTATATGGTTTAGTTTCTATTAAAATTATCATATATTAGAACTATTTAATTTTTATCGTGAGATACTGTAAAAAATTATGTTACAAAACTTACTTGCTATTTTTGTAACTACAGACTAGAGTAGTTTATATTAAAACTGTCTTGATTTCTATGTGATTAAGGTAAGTTAGTCTTGAAATTATAATTTCTATCATGAGTTAATGTAAAAAACTCTGTTATGGAAATTACTTGTATGCTTAGTAGTTGAATTAGGTTATATCAAATTATCATTGATTTCTATTGTGAGTTTTTGTCAAAAGTTACTATTCCAGTTGATACACAGTATGTGGTTCACTAATAGAGATAGCAATGGCTACGATTATTTATAGTCAATTTTCTAAATACCAAGATGATTTTTTATTTTTGAGCTTTTAATTAGAGTTGTTTAGAATTAAACTCTATTCATCCCATTATATAAGCAGAAAGGATGATGCTGTCTCTAGAACTCGGAATTTTAGAATTTGTTATGACAACTAATAGCCGGCTATGATGTTAACGAATTCTGAAATTCTGAGTTCCAGAGACAGCATTGTCCTTTCTGCTTCTTGTATAATGAGATAAGCAGAGTTTAATTCTAAACAGCTCTAATTAAAAGCTCAAAAATAAAAAATCATCTCAGTATTTAGAAAATTGACTATGAATAATCATAGCCATTTATAACCCTATTCACCAATGCTTGCAATTAATGTTAATTGAGTTATAATATCATTATACAAGAGACTGTGAATGCTATAATTAATGCATAACTGGTTGTTTTTATAATTATATAACTGTATAAATTGATTACAATTTATTACTACATCAAAATGTTGCAATAATTACAAATTTTAACAATCACACGAATAATCACAAGAATATTGTGATAATAACTTCGTACAATAATACATATTGCAAAGATTGAACTATAATACATGACAGTATAAATAATTTATAGACAATCACCTGGATCATGCTTTTGAATTTATTCTGTTTTTGGGATATTAATTTTAGAGCTACAAATAGCCCTATTCATTGATGAAGTCATGCAGAGCCCCTGAATACTGCATAGCTCTACTAATAAAACCTCTGCGATCAAAGACTATTTCCGTATAGACCAAATTTATAAACTTGTACAACATACATTAGTTTTTATGCAAACTGTACATTAAGCATTTTTATTAATAAATGATTTCTGTACGTAGAACTTACATAAAAAATTTTTTTTAAAGTGCTATAAATCTAGATTTTTTTTCATTAATGCTTCAGCTTCTGAAACCCCAGATTCTAACTGATTGATTTCCTCTATTGATTTGTTGTAAAGTTGCAATTGAATTGCTGACAATGTTACATATCGGCCTAAGAAAGTTGAAGTTGTCTTACTTTTAACTTCAACTTTGCCCAAGGAACTAAAAAAACGGAAAGAATATTCTTCAACTGCAAATTGAATTTTTAGTGTATCCAAAATGTGATTAAATTCATATAGATTCAAAAGATCTTGTTCATATAAAATTGCATGTATACGATTGGCATTTAATCCATCCAAAGATTCAGCTCGACGATATGATGTGCCATATTTCTATAAACATTTATTTTATTTTAGTTAATTTGTATATTAAATTTAAAGAAAAATTAATAAAGGACTACCTTAAACACAGCGATAATTTCTGCTATATAGATTGCTTTACTATTATAAACATAAAAATAAAAATTGCCAGCTGTGTAATATATATTTTCAGGATTAAGCTTTGTAATATTAAATATCTTTTGACATGCACTTGTCCATTGAGCAAGACAACCTTTAGTTCGTGAAGTGGATCTTTCTGCAGAATTAATTCGTTCAAGTCGTAAAGCTGTTTCCAAATTAAGAGTTCCATTTGGTGTATTAATTACGAAACTTTGAAATTGTTGTGATGGTGTCAAATTGAATTTTCACATTTCTTTAAGAGTATACTCATCAAATTTCTCTTTAGTAAAATTAATTAGCATTAATTTAGTAATTAAATTATAATCTGTATATCGAAGTATCTCAATTCTATTTACCTCTATATTGAGTTATTTCTTTCATAATTTTAATAGGATCCAAAGATTTCAACCGTATATAATAATTTATTAATTCAAAAAATGAATTATTAAAACTATTAAACGTTTCATTATTATTTAAACTGTAGGTCTCAGAAATAGTAAAGTCAAATTTATCTGGTAGATTTTGACATGCTATAAGTCTTTGTTGATGTGAAAAAAGCAGTTCCTCGATAGCTAATTCAGAAATATTATCATGAATTGAATCTATTTCTATTTTCTCATTTTCAAGTTCGTTTTCATAATTTATAATGTTGTGCTGATAGTTAAAGCATTCTCGAATAATCTGTGTATATTCATGAGGCGAAAAATCTATACCAATTGATCTTAAAATTCCATGCATAGCTGTTGAAACCTATTATATACAACAAATTAGAATATTTATTTTATCTTTTTTTAACTATCATATAGCATGGACTAAAAGACCCTCTTATTATAATATCTCTTACAATTTTAGAAGCCTGAAATGTATTGTACTCGGGTATCAAAGATAGTTAGCTTGTAAAATACCCGAGTACTCAAGATGGGTTACTATAATATGAATAGTATTCTAAGTATTTTAGTCTACGCTATACGGTAATGATTTTGGTTACCTTTTCTAATGTGTTGCCAATTTCAAATTCTGTTGGAAATAAGGCTAGTTCAGGATCCAATGAATCTTTAATTGATCCAAGACGTATATTATAGCCATCATTATTGTCAGGACGTTTAATAGATCCTAAAATAACAAGTATTAGCTTTTTTTAATTAGAATATTTTAAAATAGTTTTTTTTACCTTTCATTTCAATATTAATATTTTTAATAATCTTTTCATTCATCATTAAAAAATCTAATAATATAAAATCTTCAACTAATCTACGTGCATATCCAAAAATATGTTCCAAAAATGCTGTAGAAATTAACCAAGACACAAAGGAACATAAACGTATGCTAGTGGAAAATAACTAATTAATAAAATTAATGTACATCCGAGGTAAAGAAAATCATCTTTGGTTTGCCAAGAAATTCCATATTTTTTAGAATTGCGCTGAGCTGGATTATTTTTAATATATTTCCATGTAGTTGCAAAAAATATAGTTCCAGACCAAGCATAGGCTATTTGATCAATATGAGCCATAGTTTTAGATTTCCATGCTTCTAAAAGCATGCCTGAAAAAAAAAGATATAATGCATCTCCATAAAAAGTATCATCATTATATTTTTTAGAATGTTCAAAAATCGCTAATTTAAGATTCTGAATTAATATTAAAGAAATCAAAGCTAAGAAATTTATATGATTGACAAAAATAATATACCTCTTAAGATACGCGATGAATAAAACCATTCAGCAAGTTCATCAGATTGTTTGTCTTTGGGATTTAATACATCAGTAGTGAGCCTGGACTTTCCTCCATAGATATTATATAATTGCCAAAGATGTTCAGTTGAAATTACATAATTGCCAATTGGTACAACATGTATACCAGAATTATACATATTATGTCCTAAATAAAAGAATATTAACTAATATTAGACATTTACATACACTCTAATTAATTATAAAAAAATTTTTAACAGGTTGTTAATTTCGAAAAGTATAAGTTTAATAATAAAAAAGATTCACTTTATTAATCATTATCTAATTTGTCTAGAGATGCATTATATTAAAATACTAACCTTTTTTTATACAATGATAAAAATCTGTTCCACTTAAAAGTGGTAATTTATTTTCAAATAAGTGTAGGTCGAGAGGAAACTTTTTTAAAAGGATTGATTCTGATTCCTTTACAGATATATATTTAAATAAGTATTTAGATTTTATATATTCGTAATAATAGAATATTATAAATAATAAAATACCTTAATTAATCCTAACTTATTTTGAAATTCGTAATTAGTAAAATACATTCTACCTAACCAATTCCGATTATGAGGAGCACCATCAAAATATAATCCAACTAATTTTGCTCCAGCATGATTTAAATGCTTAACAACTAAGTTATTTTCTTCAATTACATTTACTAAAGTTTCTTTTTGGTCTGACGGAAGTACTGCAATTACGAGTGGTGGTATTCCTGGTATAATTGCTGAAATTGCATAAACTGTAATGTAAGTTGCTTTTTTCAAAGTTACTAACTTTTGATGAAGTTCATCAATTGTCATTGAATGAGAAATAGATGTTTGTTGCGTTTGTGTACATCCAACAAACTGAGCATGATGACGATCTACTTCAATCATTTCAGCAATTTTAGTTTGATCTTTTGCGCATATAATTGGTCCTGAATAATTATATGCACATCTCCAATTATTAATTAATTTAGAAAAATTTAAAACATTAATCTCTAAAAGATCAAAAGAGTTATCACTTTTATTTCTTATTTGCCGCAGAAATCTTATTGTTGGCCCTGCAAGATTTAATGTAATCCATCGTACAGCAAGAGTACTAATTGAGATAAGTACTACAAGAAAATCAACAAACGTCTCATTATATTGAATTCCACGCATTGTAGTAATATTACGTTCCATTTTATCTAAAAGTTTTGTAACTGATTGAGCTATTCCAATGAATATAGGTTGTTTCTCATCTATAGTTTTATTTACCATGTATCGGGTACATTGTGCCATCCAATCTTCAATTCCATGTTCCTCTACTGCTTCTAAAAGTCCTCCTAATGCTGGATATTCTTTAACTAGCTGCTGATATTTGGAATCAATGATCTCTTTTTTGTAATATTTAAGTAAATTGTCAAGATTATCAGAACGATATTTTTTAGGATGTTTTTCTTGATTTTTTATAAATGTATCCAGTTCTTTAAAAGAATGATTAGACCATTTATCAAAATAAGGTACTTGACTATATTTACAACGAATTGAATCAGTTAATTCTCCCTTTATATTTAAGATCATAGCACAATCAATTTGAGCAAGTAATTCCTGATATTCACAATTTCTTTTGTTGAATGCTTCATTTTTTGATAAAAGACCACATTCGTAACACCATTTATTTGAACAATATCCAAGACATTTTGCACTCTTAAAATAGCCCTCAGCACGTTCTAATCTATCATACAAGTCATCATTTCAAAAAATAGTTTATTGAACTTTGCTTTTTTTATCAAAATTGAAGTGCTATACTTCGCAAAAGTTGTATAATTTGCTTTGAAGAATCTATTACAAACTATAATAATATAATATAAAATATAAAATAAGCTTATAAGTAAATTAATATAATATTAAAATAAAGAAAAAGATCGAACCATGCTGTTTAATTTTAGACACTTGATTTATAGATGATGTTAGTTGACTATCATTAACTAAGTTATTGAACTCTTTATTTGGTTTAGTTAAATCAATAACAGTTGGTGTGTTATTATCGTTATTACTAAAAAATGTTGTTAAAAAGGTAGTACGCATTTTTTTTGACTCAGTTTTTTGAGAATTTTCAAGATGCATTGAAGTAATAATATGTTCTTTTAATCTAGTTCCATCATTAAAGCGGTGTAAAGTTATTGATTTTTGACAACTATGACAATAAACATGTTTATTATCATTATATAAAGTATATGATCTATCTTCTAAAATCTTTTTTAATAAAGATTGACCTGATAAACCATCAAGTTGCTGAAGAATTTCTGCTATTTTTGATTCTGTGCTTTCATTTCGAATTCTTTTAGCTGATAAATTTTTATTTTGACTTGTTGAATGGTAAGTAATATTTTCTTCTCGAACAATATTACTTTTTATTCCAAAATAGTCAAGCTGTTTTTGTTGTAAAGTATTTTTATTTTTATTAGAATTCATTAGTGCTATTGCTTCAAAAAAAAATTTATCATTACGTATTGATTGATATATTTTATTTTTGTACACCAAACTCCTTAAACAATTCTGTACGTAGAGGTAAATATTTATTGCAAATCCGTACATTATAGTAAAATTTATTATAATTCTGTACGCAAAGGTAAAAATACTTTAAAGACTAGTTTACCAAAATCTGTACTTTGAGCTTCAGTTAAATTTCTATATCCGTATACTAATAGCCGTTGAGGTTTCCCATAAAATTTATACTTCCGAACAACGAGGTTCTAATCAGTATATTCAGGGGCCCTAGTCATGCTAGGGTTATTATCATGAGGATAATTAGTTTTATAGCTTATATGAAAAGATAATAGACATGCAGATGATTGTATACAATAAGAGATCATAGATATGCATATGATAGAGATTATAAATATGCATGCGACAGAGATTATAAAGATACATATAGAAAAAAATGGTGAATTTAGTGCTTTCTTACTTCACTTGTCTTATTCACTTGTTCTCTTCATTGCCTAATTACGATCTGGCTCCACCTCCCCGCACTTTCGATCCTCATTTATGCTTCATCACGTGACTATATCCATGTGGATATAAAATTGTTATAAGCACAATATGCAATAGTAGAAGAGAAAAGTGATGAAGTGGAGCACTACTCCCATCAAGTATCTTCATAATATTTAAAAAAGTGGATAAAGAAATCCAAGCAAGAATAATAGTTAATACATACAGATAATCATTATTTGGTGGTATTAGATTTGATCATATTCGCAAAATTTGGTTAGCATTTCATGTTCTTGATTATATACATACTGTACGTTGTAAAGGTGTGGACCAATCGGAAATCTCAAAATATAGTCAACACAGCACTAGACTAAACTAAACAACATACAATATTACTAAACTCTATCTTCCCTAATGGTGGAAGGCACAAAAGAGGGCGTGGAAAGACTTGGTCCAAGTTATTAGGGCCAAATAGAGCTCTAGACTACGTCACGAGGCTCTAATTCAAAATTATGAAATTAGAGATAGTTTATTATTGGGATTAGGGGAATGAATGTATATAGTTATATACACAAATAATAATTTAGCGATTGTTAAAGCTCATTGCTGAGATGTTTATATTTTTGGAGGGAAACTACCTCCTATATATAATTAATTGTTACATATAACAGAATTCTAGGAATTCTAGGAATTCTAACTATTCTCGCTATTCTAGCTATTTTATGAATTCTCGTAATTTCTATTATTCTTCGAATCCTACGAATTCTAGGAAATCTAGAAATTCCAGGAATTTGTACCACCTTTAACTTTAAAAATAGAACCAATTGATAAAAATAAAATTTAGAGGTCGATCTTACCTCTCATAACGTATATGCATCCACTTATTTGTAATACTAATCTCTAAAAAGGAAATAGCCAATCGGAGACCGTAAAATGTGATGATCCCGGATCAGCCCAACATGTGAGCAAAATGAAGAAAAATACTGAAAAGGAGAAAATACTCAAAAACTCGTGTTTAAATCGACCTTTTTTGACTAATAAAAAATAACAAGGATGAAATTTTACATATAAAAAATTAACCCTAACACTAACCCTAACGCTAACTCTAACGTCCTAATCCTAAACTTTTTTAGTTTATTTACAAATGTGATTTCCTTTTTTGGGTTGTATTACCGGCGCAAATAAGTAAATTGACAGTACGTATATTCAATATTAAATTAATTTCCCATAACATGTGATCTTTGACCATTTATACCATCTCATTTTCACACGTGCAAGATGATTGGTAAAAATGTAAGTGACACTTGTGACAGGTGATAATTTTATAATAAGAGGATTAAATTAGGGTATTGCTATTTGCACCACGATAAACACTAGTTGCACCATGAATTTTGTGTAACAGTAAATCCTTTTCTATTTGCACCATGTAGATCACTTAATTAAATATTTTAAATTTTAAAAACTTTTATTAATATTATCTTCATGA